GTTATTCAAATACAGCTGAATCAAATATATTTTACCCACCCACCCGAATATGTTATAACATAGAGATGAGCCGATAAGAGATGAGCTAATGTAAAATAAGCTTAATTTCGAGACCACAACTCGTCAAAAAATTAAGAAAATGAGCGTTTTCCGTTGCATACTCGATTTGATTTTTAATTTAAAATTGTTAGATTTATAACTATGTGAAAATATTTGAAATGTGCTTTCCTCCAGTTACGATAATTTTTTTAGCTGACAATATTTGTAGTGACGACTACGATAAACTTTCTTTAGGAAGTTAAAAGGCGAAAAGGCTGGTATCAGGGGCATCCACTCTACCTGAAAACGTTGATTTTGTTGACTTGCGCAAAGTATGTCTAAAGCCTCATTTACATTCAGTCCCTGCCACTAGTCCTCGCGCTGCCGCCCATACTTCGTTAAATACTGCCGTAGCAGGATCGAGAGAAGTGTGTATTTACATTCTGTCCTACCACACACATCACTTTCGACTTTAGACTATGGCAGACGTCGAAATAATTACAGCGTCCGCGCTGTGTCTTCTTGTAATATAAAATTATGTTAATAATTCAAAAAAGATATCTAATTCAAAAGAAGATAGATCGATAGATAGAAAACTTATTTGCTTAAAAATATGTTACATAAGATGATCAATGACGTGGAACTGACAGGTTTTGCCATAATTGGCATGCAAAAATGATATTAAACAGCTAATTACACAAACCCAACGTTACATTTTAAAATTATTTCATTGCTTAAAGGTTATGTTCAAACATTCTTTCCGAATTCAAACATTATGTGCAATTAAATACTTATACAGATCCATACTATTTGAATTCTTATACAATAAATTGTTCATAAATTATTAATTGAAATATTTTTCGAATTATTTATTATAAAAATTTTTGTTACATTAATAATATTAAATATTATATGAGATTAGTTAAGCTATTATTATTTTAATAATTACACTACAGTATAAATTAATTCATAATTTTAATTACAATAAAATTATAATTTTCAAATCACAGACTATTATATAAATATTACCATTTAACTCAATACATTATTTTACATTTTAATAAATAAATAATCAATATGAGTTACTAATCTTTTATACTAAATATACAGTAAGAGTACCATAAATAAAATAAAAAAAATAAAAGAAAACTTTTTTTATTTTTATTTTTTTAAATTTGTATAGACCTATAAATTGTTACATTGTCTTCCAATTATCGAAAAGAACATAATTCGAAACATTTTTTGGAAAATGTTAAATGAATACAATGAAAAATAAGTAAAAATGATAAAGCGTATATTTTTTATTCACAGTGAACTGGTGGTGGTTCAGGCTTAGTGCACGGATTTGCAGGAAAATTGCAATCACAATATAAATAAAATAGCTAAAACAAGCAAGAGAAATGTGTAACGGATAAAAATTATTACAAATAAGATTTTAGTTCTACGCTTTAAAAAGTTTCAACTGATTTCAAAAAATGAGGTTCTATATTAGACACGTATTTATTTAATAAGTTCACCGATTTCTCGGAGAAGACAAAACCGATTTAAATTATTATTTTTGTATTAAACGAAATACATCCCTAAGGTGGTTTTATAAATTTAAAGAAAAAAAATCCGCCCTTAAGTATGAAAAAGTAGGATAGATAAAATAAAATAAGATTTTAATTGTAACTAGTTAGACGACATTCTTTATGTTATTTTGCCTCAAAATTGTGATAATGCTTAGTCCACACAAAAAAAACTTTTAATAAAAAAAAATAAACAGACTGCAAAAATTTGACAAGTAACATATTTTCCATATAACTGCTTCTGAAAGTGGTGCTAAGACAGCGTATCGAAGAATTAAAGCCCTCTATATTAAGTATTTTGAACGCCGTAGGAAAACTTATTTAGTAAAATAATAAAAGTATTCTATATCTGTTTTGATTTAGGAGCAATTGAGATCATTATAAATATTTATTTACGAGATAATACTTTTTTTTCTTTTCTTGTGATTATGCACATTTAAATATTTTTTGATCTTTTGATTTTCGAACTTCATTCGAGTAGGTGAAATAAAAAGTTCGTATATTTCTAGATACTTCTAGTTAAAAGAACAATGTCCAAAATGGCCCTGTGAAATAAAAGCATCGGACATATATGATAATTAATTATCTATTTTATTCTATTAGTTACAAATACAGTGTAGTCCGTTATAACGCGGACTAGCTGCATGCCAAAATGAAGATTAAAATTATTGTATTCGACTAATGTCATTAATCGCCGCCATCTACGCCAAACATCATGTGGTGTGTAAAAATGACTAGGGATGCCCAATCGATTGTAATCGATCTTTTGAATGTTTAATGAACTGTTGCATATTTTTCAATCTGTTTCACATTTTTAATTTATTATGAATAAAGTGCAAATAGAAACTACAATAAAAACAGTCAATAATTAGTCCTTTTTGTTATTCCCTAAAAGTATAATTAATTTAAAAAACCTACTATACCTAATGAATAAGGTCATACTCGATTTTAAATAGGTAGTTAGAATAATGCTGAAGTAAACAAATTAATTAGTATTACGCGTTGTTTATTTTATGTTTATTTCATATATATTTTTGTACCTATTCATTGTAGAGATATAATTACAAATTGCTAAGTGTATATTGTAATGTATTTTATACATAGTGTGTAAAATACATTGATTTCTTACCCTGATCGGCAGTTTTACTCAATCCTCACGTAAAAACTTTTATTTCTTATAAATAATTATGGAAATCTAACGTTTATTACATAAAAATTACGAAAAACAATATATTGGCAAACATTATATCGACAAAATTATTTGCGGATAGATATTTACAGCACTATAATTAATTAAGTACACGTATAATTCGCCTATGTTGTCAGCACTGTTATTAAAAATAAATCTCATAAATCTTGATATTGGCAGAAAGTAGTTTGGCGCCCTTTCTTACATGTACTTTTACTAAGGGAGCCCCGCCGTAGTGATTATGTTCTCTTTGTTACGCATAGTCAATGAAAAGTGGCGGCTCTGCTGGTGGTTTTATGTTGTTGGTACTAAAAATAGTTAAATATTTCAGGTAATTGCTTTTCTGTTTCTTAAAAATTCTAGTAAATGATAAAAACCATAATAATAGTTAGTTCTATTATAACCTCAAAATCTGATCTTTTCTGCAGCTAGACCGCTATAAAAATAAGATCATATAGGAATTCCCTCATGATCGACAATACATCACACAATATACCGATGCTGTTGGTTCCAGGGCGAATAATGTATGGGCACGGAGCAATGTCCTTTATATACAATAAAATATAACAATTGGCGTCCCAATTACATCTTTCGCGGGATACATCCGCTAAGGTACGTAGCATTATTATAATTATTCTTTGGCTAAGGCTCTAAAAACAGTACGTCCCGACTCTCGCAAACCTAGGTGTAACAAGAACGAAAATCTTATGGTTTCCGATGGATGGTTTATACGTGGTAGAGCCATGCTGCAGTTATATTAGTAGTATAGTTGTAGCACGAATGGGTCGGCTCGACCGGGGAAGGACCACGCTCTCACAGAATACCAGCGTGAAATAGTAGCTTAATGCTGCTGTATTTCGTATGGTGAGTGCAGAGAACCGGAGACCCTTTTTTACTGGAAACGAGGCATTCCATCTTAGTCCTCACGGGTGACAACGCATCTGCATTTTGATTCGTAATCGAGGATAGATGTAGATGTCTATGGGCCACAGCAACCACTTAACATCAGGTGGACTGTGTGCTCGTTTGTCACCCTATCCTATAAAAAAAAAAAGTATCTCTATACTAACCTCTTAAATATAAAAGAAAAATACACTTCTTATAAGAACTTCACGCTGGTATTGAAGTTATCACATATTATAATTACGCCGAGCTATTCCGTTTATCCACCTTAAAAATCCACCTTAGCTTGGATACTCAAAATTTAATTTCATTTGTTCCAACATGTTTTTACCCTAAGTGCAGTTCAACTAATATACTTTAATTAGTAGTATTTTTTTTATAAATGTGTCGTTCATTGTAATAGTGAATTATCTCCATGCAATGAAGTTTTGAGAAATTAAGAGTTTTGTTAATTAATGCGTAGAAAAAAAACTACAAATTTTTATTCAATGCTTTATATTTTTTATTGTAGTTAACAAATGAAATATTATAATAGTATATAGTTACTTAAAAATAAGACGAAGTTATTTTAATAAAACGAATTATAATTTTTTTTTGTGGACTTACTTCACTGTTAAAGTGACGAGTTATACTTATTGTGATTTCGTTAAGTGGTTAATCGTAGGTTATTTCGTCATCAGACGAACGTTCATCAGCATTACGTGTGCTTGACCGTGTTGGAATGTCTACAGTAAGGTTTTTGTAAAATTGATGGTAAATTGGTGGAATGTATGGGAGAAGATCAAGCATATCCTTCTTCTTAGCAATAGTAACTGGTCTTCTTGAAGGATAAAGTGGGCCTTGTTGAATATTGCACAAGTAAGCGGGTCGTCCTTGTTGCTTTTTTGATAGATCTACTTTGTAGAAGGGCATGTCAGCGTTGAGCGTTTCTTTAAATTGAAATTGTAAAGGATGATTCCTCTCAAACCTCAGCCATCTAATATTCAGCCAGTTTAAGTCGTAACCACAGGTTGTTTTTTTTCTGTTGGTAATAGATTTTTCTAATGCCGCAGTGCTTATAAATTCGGAATTTTTTTATTTCAGTTACAACAAAATGTGATTCTTTGCGTTTGGCTGTTTTTATGATCTCAATCCATTGATCCGGGCTATAAATTTGTCCATGACGGCGACTTGCGCTCTCAATTATCCCAAATTGCCCATCATTAGGCAAATAAGAATGCCCGGACACTAAAAACTTGTGGTCTATGGTGGTTATACTAGTATCCGGGTCTTGTACGAGCTTTAAAAGGGAAAGGGTACTCTTAATGTTTCGATTTTGTCCAGTGCATTCTTTGATGAAGTTCCTTTTGAACTTCAAACTCTTTCTTCACGTTCTCGTCATCGGTGCCTCTAATTTTAAAATTCAAGCTATCACAAGTCTTACATGTATCCTGGTGCGGTGCCTTGAAATGTAGATTAAACTTGGTGTTAAAAACTTTATTATAATATTTAAATTTTTTAGGTTCTGTCATTTCAGTCAAACATTTTTCTTTATATAGATCGTACATCTTTAGAATAGTTAGCCCAGGATTTAAAAACTTCCGGTTAGGATTACTTTTCTTGTGTAATGGCTTTGGTACGCGGGAAAGCTTTGTATATGAACAATAATATCAGAATCATCTAATTTTCGAGTACTAGTCGTGCCTCGTTTATCTTTACATTGCGAGACATCGCCTTTTGATAGACAGCGATATAATCCACCATCACTGATTTGGAATGTTTTAAAAAATATTTTTTACATACCAATTGTGTCATAATATGAGATTTGAGAAAATACTTAAACGAAACGTTTTTTCCTGCTCGTGACAGATCTTTAGGTCGTTTTCTATTAGCAGATGCTTTTTGCACTAATGCATATAGAAAGGCATTTTGCTGATTAAAGTCCTTTAAATTCCAAAAATGATTCGAACATTTCTTGCCTTTCATTTTCTGTAAAAAGCGTATAACACTTTTTAGGACATCCACAGTCAATATTTTCGAAGATTTTGGTATTTTTCTCCCATTTTAGTTACATAACCTTTTCCACTATTACGCAATAACTTTCTTTTATAACTTTCCAATTTTTCTTGTTGATTGGCCTTTTTCTAGATTTAGATGTTCCAGGTTCTGATAGACTAGACGGCATCATAATATTTTCGTCACAACTTGTATCTGTTTCTGAAACAAGTATAAAAACGAAACCAATAAAATAGTAGTGATTTCTAGGACATAACTAAATAGAAAATATATTGTTAGATATCGTATTTTCTTGTCTATAAACTTGAAAGTTATCATAATATTTTTAGGTTAGAAAAACAACTAATAAAAATATAAGTTACCAGATTCTGTATGAATTTCTCCAGGAATAGGCTGATATTCAGAACCAGAATCACTAAAATCTTCTGTATTAGACATATTGTATTAAAACCCCACAAAAACACCGACTTTGAAAATCCTTTTTTAATAATTATCACAACACGTACAACGGATGACAACAATCGGTCGCAATAAAAGTGAATCAAGTCCGGACTTACTTCATTATAAAAGTGACTTGGGACATACTTCACTTTTATAGTGAATAACAGTACAAATCTGTTCCTAGACTAAACAAAATAGCGACATCTACGTCACTTTAGTGGTATCAGTGGAGTTGCTTCATTTTTATATTGAAAGATATGATACATTGTGAGCCCACTATGGGAAAATAATTCTTTTTTTAATATTATGGAGTTACACCACTATTACAATGACCGACACAAATATAACTATATAAATCATGTTACGTAATACCGTTACAGCCTATAATTGAAGAACAAGCATTACGGATTGCATTTAAATCATACTAAACGTACTATTGGGAAATCGGATGCTTTCGAATGCTTATTTTTTCTGACTCCATGGTCTTCGAGTATCGGGCTCGGGATGGGCCCGTTGCAGAGGTGAAATTGAGGCCGCGAAGATGTGCCTTATATGAGGAGCAAAACGGTAAGGAGTAGTTATCCCTTGAGGGGAGACTTCCAGAGGGCTAGCGCTGGTGGGGCCACTCATGTGTGTGAAATCGTTCCCCTGGCCCTGCCAATATGCGACGACGGTGGAACACCATGGGATTTTAGTTAGTCGGTGCGAGTTTGACATAACCCGTCCTTGCCACCGCGCGTCGGGTAAGCGTGGGCAATTGCCCTATAAAAATATGGATATTGGCCATAGTCGCCACGTTTGGCAAGTAAGTTGGCAACCGCAGGTTTTTATTCTTACTCGTTTATAGGAAGACGCTGCTGTTGAACTCTGTCGCCTCTTACGACAATTACGGAATGATTTTGGGGTAGTAGATTTCTTACACCGCCTCTGCTCGATACTTTATAACCTGCTTCACAGCAGCATCTTCCTAATAACATCAATAACATAATAAAAAACTGCGGTTGCCAACCCGCTCGCCAAGCGTGGCAACTATGGCAAATATCCCCCCATGAGCAACGACGCAAATAAACGGCCCCCAGTCCCCGGCGGCCCCGCTATTCCTGACTACGGTGGCGACCATGGTAACGGCGGGGCAGGGGGTGCTAAGAATCTCCGGTGGAGGTTCGGTTGCCACCTACGACGACTCGACCTGGCAACGTATAACGCACGCACCCTAAGGACTGACGAGAAGATACTGGAGCTGGAAGAAGAGGTAGACAAGTTGCGCTGGCATATTATTGGATTATCTGAGGTCCGAAGAGAGAGGGAGGACACGGTAATCCTCGAGTCCGGCAACTTGTTCTATCACCGGGAGGGCGACCATCTGTCCCAAGGAGGTGTCGGATTTATCGTCCACAAGTCTCTCGTCAACAACGTTGTAAAGAATGGGAGTGTGTCGACGAGGTTCGCGTACCTGATACTTAGAATCACCAAACGGTATTCGCTGAAGGTCATACAGGTCTACGCAACAACGTCGGCACATCCCGATGAGGAGGTGGAGGAAATGTATGAGGATATTTCTAGAGCCATGCATTCCTCCAAAACCCACTACACGGTGTTGATCGGAGACTTCAACGCAAAACTACGCACAAGAGAAAGCGGTGAGCTGAAGCTAGGGAAATTTGGAGTAGGGCAACGGAACCGTAGGGGCCAGCAGCTAGCTGACTTTATGGAGAAAAAGGGACTCTTTTTGATGAACTCTTTCTTCCAGAAGCGGCCCCACAGGAAGTGGACCTGGTCGAGCCCCGACGGTTCGACAAAAAATGAGATTGACTTCATTATGACGACCAGACGCCAACTGCTAAGTGTTGTCTCAGTGATCGCAAGGGTGAAAACTGGCAGCGATCACCGCATGGTTAGAGGCACACTGAACCTAAATGTTAAGTTGGAGAGGTCTCGTCTAATGAAGTCAACGCTCCGTCTCTAGAATCTAGAATGGCTCTCCATCACCTTAAAAACGGCAAGGCCCCGGGCGAGAATGGAATTACAGCGGAGCTTCTGAAAGCGGGGTGGAACACCGGTACTTGAAGTCCTTCAGAAGCTCTTCAATTCCGTCCTCCATGGCGGCACTACTCCGGAGGCGTGGAGCAGAAGCGCGGTGGTCTTGTTCTTAAAGAAAGGCGACAACGCTCTCTTGAAGAACTACAGACCGATTTCCCTTCTGAGCCGCGTCTACGTGCTGTTTTCGGGAGTCATTATAAATCGTCTCGCACGCAGACTCGACGACTTCCAGCCTCCCGAACAAGCCGGTTTCCGAAAAAGGCTTCAGTACCATAGACCACATACATACCCTTCGGCAAATTGTACAGAAGTCCGATGAGTACAATCTGCCACTTTTCCTGGCGTATGTGGACTATGAGAAAGCCTTTGATTCCGTCGAAATTTGGGCGGTGCTACAGTCTCTTCAGCGGTGCCTAGTTGACTGTCGGTATATTGAAGTGCTGAAGTGTTTGTACAGTAGGGCTACGATGGCTATCCGAGTACAGAACCAGAGTACGAAACCTATCCAACTGCAGAGAGGTGTAAGACAGAGTGATGTTATATCCCCGAAACTCTTCACCGCTGCGTTAGAAGCCGTTTTCAAGCTACTGGACTGGAAAGGATACGGTATTAACATCAATGGCGAGTACATCACTAACCTTCGATATGCCGACGATATAGTCCTTATGGCAGAATCGCTGGAGGACCTTAGCACTATGCTCAATGACCTCAATGGTGTCTCCCATCGTATAGGTCTTAAGATGAACATGGACAAAACAAAGATCATGTTGAATTTCCATGTCACACCTATGCCGGTAGTTGTTGGGAGCACTATGCTCGAAGTTGTTGACGAGTACGTTTACCTGGGACAAATGGTCCGACTAGGTAAGTCCAATTTTGACCGAGAGGTCAATCGACGGATTCAACTCGGCTGGGTAGCGTTCGGGAAATTACGACAAATTTTCTCGTCAGGTATACCTCAATCTCTGAAAACTAAAGTGTATAAGCAGTGCGTGTTGCCAGTGATGACTTACGGATCTGAGACGTGGTCCTTCACTGCTGGCCGTATGAGGACGCTCAAGGTCGCTCAGCGAGCTATGGAGAGGGCTATGCTCGGAGTTTCTCTTCGTGATAGACTCAGAAATGAGGATATCCGCAGTAAAACCAGAGTGACCGACATATCCCATCGGATTAGTAAGCTGAAGTGGCAATGGGCCGGTTATATAGCTCGAAGAACCGATAACCGATGGGGAAGAAAGGTTCTCGAGTGGCAGCCTCGTACCGGTAGGTGTAGTGTAGGGCGACCCCTCACTAGATGGAGTGACGACCTGGTAAGACATGCAAGAAGTTGATGGATGCAGGTGGCTCAGGACCGTGCTTTGTGGCGTTACTTGGGGAGGCCTATGTTCAGCAGTGGACTTGTGAAGGGCTGTAATGATGAATGATGAATATATATATATATATATATATATATATACACGACGCGTATGTTTTTTATGAATGTTCGTTATATTCTCCGAAACAGCTGAACCAATTTAATTGATTTTTTTAAATTAAATGGGCTATTGTGTAGGAATGCTGGCAAATAATTTTGAAAGAAAATAGAGAATCTAGATTTTAATGTTACTATCTAGATGACTATTTAGTTGATTGGCATTATAGTTATTTTTGCTTTGATTTATTCATGTCACACACGACAAGATACAGATGCAGTGATATAGTAAGTTCGTACGAAATTTCTACTTATTCCATAATATACAGAAATATCTTCCAGTAGAACCATAACGGAAAATATCTTTATTAAGGCAAATTTTTATAGATTAAAAATATTACAGGTTATTGTCACAATGTCATTTAACTTCTTATTATCCTAAGTCAACTCAAAAGAGTAATAAAATGTAACACTTAATAAAAATTATTTTTATTTTATTTTTATTTTTATTGAATAGGGTGACAAACGAGCACACAGTCCACCTGATGGTAAGTGGTTGCTGCGGCCCATAGACATCTACATCTATCCTCCATTAAAAATCAAAATGCAGATGCGTTGTCACCCGTGAGGACTGAGATGGAATGCCTCGTTTCCAGTAAAAAGGGTCTCCGATTCTCTACACTCACCATACGAAATACAGCAGCATTAAACTACTATTTCGCGCTGGTATTCTGTGAGAGCGTAGTCCTTCCCCGGTCGAGCCGACCCATTCGTGCTACAACTATACTACTAATATAACTGCAGCATGGCTCTACCACGTATATTCAAAATTGATATATGAAGTATATTAAAAATTGATTTCCAAAAAAAAAAAAGAATTCCACATAATACACAGCTTATGAAGGCTTTAAAAGGCTAAGCCCAAAGAGAATTTGGTATGGCGTGTGGTGTTGCGGCATATACGTAAAATGGCTGCTAATTTTTTTTTTATATAATAAGAGCGATAAAAGAGAATACACACTAAGTTTGTTTTATCGCGCGTAGAAACTTACATCTATTCTCGATTAAGAACCAAATATTAATGCGTCCTCACCCCTGAGGCCCAAAATAAACTTCCTTATTACCAGTAAAAAGGTCTGTGATTTTCTACACTCACCATACGAAACATGTTTCTGTACATCAAGCTACTATTTTACGCTGACAATACGTTGAGAATGTGGTTCTTTGCAACAAGACACAACATGATCCAAGAGCGTGTGCTTGGCATGCATACCAAAAGGCTGAACGTCCTACATTAAGGTAGTGTGCACTGTGAACTGGAGAGATGCAGTTCGTTTTAAAATCTGAATTAAACAATTAATGTGCTTGTGCACAGTCGTGAAATATCCGAACATTTTGCCATCCGAGTCCCCAATTTCTGTCAAAAATGGACGATCATATTTTTATTATTTTATAAAAATGTTTTCAAACTGCTTGAAATTATAATGATTTCTTAAATTTACGCGAACACTACACATGAAATAAAACTAAATTTATGAATTCTATC